CGCAAGCTGCATGCATACGGGGGTAGATATGGGCACCGGACGTGAAAAAGCAAAAACCGATAACCGGCTAGGAGGCGTTGTCCTCAGTGTCCAATAACCGATATAACCGGGTTTTTTGAGCCCCGGTTAGCGGACAGTCGCATCATACCTGGAAACGCCTCCGCAACCTCTCAAACTTGGGTCTGTTTTGTGGCTTAATGGTATACACACCATATTTCAATCACGTAGTCGGTGTCTACCGGTGTATATTCACGCACACGATCGATTGTCGTAGTGACGACGAAGCGATGGGCACCAGAATGGGAACAACCAATGGGCAACAACCGGCTAGGAGGCGCTATTCTCAAACAAAAAACCGGCGCACGACCGGGTATGTTAGCGTCGGTGAACCGGTTAACCGGGTATAACCGGCTGCAAAACGCCTCCTTTTTGAAACACCCCCGTTTTTTTTGTATAATACAGTAACCGTCACTCATAAACGCCTGTTGGGTTTCAAAAACTCCGAGTATTAACGGTTATTTTTCAAACGATGCCCATCTCTATAGACAATGGGGTACACATCGTGTTCCACTAGTTACGACGTTATTCGTGTACCAGCAGCAGGGCACCGTTCGAGCCACAATTCATCGCTGTTTGGCATTGCATTTTATTCATTGTCCACCCCGGATCCGACTACTTGCTGAGGTGGCGGCAATTTTGAGTGGGTGAGGTGCGCTCTCGATGTGTTACTCAGTACACCTGTTTTGTCTCATCATGTGTCCGGGATTCGCAGGAGAGGTGTACCCAAAACAAATATGGGTTCCCCACCGCGGGTTCCCTTTGTTTTCACAGGATTTAGAGTGCCGACGTCCCCCCCGAAAGCCTCCCAAAGAAGAAAATGGGTACGTGTGCATAGGTGTCGGATAATTGTTTTTTCGGGCGCCCTTGCACGAAAGTTGCGCTTGTTCGCTCTATCCGTACGGCTGGCTGTCTCGCCTCTCTCTTCGCTTGGCATGTCGTCCAATGAATTACTCTGCTCTCTTTGAACACGCATGCGCGTGGTCTGAGGACGTTCCTCGTGATAGCTTTTCGGTATCCGATGGGGGGGGTACAGAGGGTTTGATGTTGTTGACCATTTAATTTTGGTGGCGCTAGCTCAACACGTGATTATGATGGGGTTGACGTTGTATCACAGAACGTTTCACATTTCAGCGCTGCAGAACAGCATGTGGCTACCTGGATCAAGCAGGGGGTTGACTCCAGCTTCACCCGTACGCGTTTCGCTTACAATATGTTTGTGTTCTTGTTTTCCGCTGTGGAATTTTTCTCACCCCTTCTCTCCTCCTGAAACCTAGGCACAATCGACGAGCATCCGCAGTCACATGCTGCTCGCCCCAAATAGTGTGACTCATGGAGGTGTACACACGAACAGAGAAAGACAGCACGCCCGCTGTTCACGATTGTTCGGAAATTGCGCGCTTCAAGCAAGTCCTAAAGGATGACAAGGTGGTGGTGACACGCCACCGAACAAAACCGATCCTATCTTCCTTTGCCGCAACTCACAGATTCTGCTCTTGCAAGCCCTGGTGTTTTTTCGCGTTTTTGGCCTCGCTGGAGAAACGCCTCGACCTCCCCACCCCGCTCCCGCTCCGGCATCCTTATGGCAGTGTGTAGGGTGCAGGATGAAGGGTACACATTCAACTATTTTGATTCTTCCAGTTTGGGGGTACCAGACTTGAAAGTTGTTGAGCAGGCGGCGGGGTGCGTGTTGGTATCTGGCGACATGGGGGTACAAGAATTATACTTTTTACGTGCAAGTTTTTTTTTTCATGAGGGACGGCGATGTTTTTGCTGTGGACGGCGATCGTGAAACCTACCAGTCATCCCAACCACATTGTACGTTGCGTAATTTGTCCTCCCGGTTGTTTTTATCTGCGGGTCCCCCCATTCAACGCGTGCGGCAGACCTTCGAGAGACTGGCCGTGCAGAACAAAATTCCGTCTCCAGGCAGTGGAAGGATCATACCCTTCCAGAATGACATGTTTGGGGTGGGAATCATTGCCACCAAGCTCTACGATGGCCTCGGGTACTTCGCCATGGACTACGGCCTCGGACAAACTGCCCGCGGCACCAAACCAAGCGCAGGTGAGAGTATGAACTCAGCCGTCCACCTTGGCCTTCTTTGTTGGCGATGTGTTTCTTTACGGTCGTGTGATTTGCGGATTCTTTTTCCGAGTTATTGGTGGGAAAATGCTTCACGTTGGAGAAGAAGATAGCAACGACTACGGTGTGGCATGACCGGAGATACTATTATGACCCCAAGTGTATTATTGAGGTGGATCATGAACATGACGTGGTGCCAGTGCTGTCTTTGCTGCCAAATCGCCTCAAAGCGAGTGTCACAAGGTGGATACGACATGACAGGGGGGGGGGGGCGTTACCGTGCCATGTAACGTTGGTACGAGGTACAGTTGGTTGGTGTAGATGCAGAGATCAACAGTGTTGTTTTCTTGTTGGTGTGTCCATCACCGGCGCTGCTCACGGTCATCGATGCCCGCAGGATCTCTCCTGTCAGCCACATATCGCCTTTTATTTCCCCTCTAATCGCAGCTCCCCTTCCCCCGGTGTTTGCCATCGGCGTTGGGTTTTCGTCGCTTGGCAACAACTTTGAAAAACAAGCCACTTCACTTCGTGAACTCGGCAACCAGAATACCGTTTTTTTTTCCCTCTGTTTTTTTTTTTGGGCGGTAACTATAATGGTGGTCGAGTGGATCATGTTGTGTGGGGTGGAGAACCTTCACTCCGCGCAAGGGGGATGATCGCACCACGTCGTGTTAAAATGGTCAAGCACCCTCGAAGCAGTTACGCAGTGCTTACAACTGTCTCTGGAAGTGAAAGCACCAGAAAATAAATTAAGTCATACGTAGCTGTCATCCGTACGCAAGGAAGTAAGCACAAGGTGCCGAACACCCTTAGCAGGATGCAGCGCACCCTTCATGCGACTCGCCGAATATCTCACGGCGCTTCGCGCTTGGTGATGTGAAAGCCTGGTCCGGTGAGAACCCGGCGTGCTCCGTCCCGGCTTTGTAGGGATGCGAGGTCAGTGGTCTAACGACTACGGCATGCACGACTATGAGTACACCCACCCCCCTCTATTCGCAGCGCTACAAAGGTCTTCGCAGAGAGAAGACACGGAGGTCGATGGCCGAGGTTTCACTCCCACCTGCGTCAACTCCGTTCACCTCCCGCGCTGTAGCTGCTTCTTTGACTCTGTGCTCCGCGCCATTTCCCAGCAGGCTATAATCCTACTGGTTCTCGACTAACAACTTGGCCTTAGCGACCCGTGCCTTGTGACGACATTCTATGGAGGCAGCAGCCGCAAGACGGATGCCTCGGGGATGTCTTACACGGGGACCCCAGAAAAACGGATCAGGGCCTGAACCTCCGCTCCTCTTGAAGACATGCGGCAGTTGAACCGTAACGTGTGCATCTTGCAGATCCGTTGTAATGTCGCATGCATGTGCAACAAACAAGGCCCACGTAGCACCCTTTCTTTTTGTTTGCCCTCCTTGCGGCGTCCGTCCTGCCTGGTTGACCTCGTGCTTGGAGCAGATCTCCTCCAATTGCTCGCATCTGCGCTGGATGTCACGTGGAACAACCGCCCGAGCGTGACCTCTGTTCGCGACAGCCGGTTTTTCAAAGTAAGCCTTGACCAGACAGCGCGTGTGCCGGTGTGTTTTTGTGTTCGTCACGTGCATGACCCGTTTTTTTTTTTTTTCGGGTGGGCTCCACCTCTCCAGGTTTGATTCAAGTCTTGCCCTCTCTGCAACATTTGTTGGCTCGGTAGTTCTGACCACCCCAGGTCGCGTCGCGAGAAGGAAAAATAATAGTAGTCAGTTTTTCGAGCATCTTTTTTCCGCCAGCGTAGGTGGAAAAGTGCCCATCTGGTGTTTGTGTGCAAATGGGGGGTTGAACGCTGTTCTTGTTTTGAAGGATGGTCTGGTGCCTGTTTTGGACACTAGCTAGATCAATATTGTATTCGGAAGATTTTTTTGCCCCCCACTGAACAGTGCTGTGACTGTTCTTGTTGTCTGCGGTGGCCTAAATCGGTTCGTTTCAGCAGTGGTGTTAACATTTCTGTATTCCGAATAGAGTGTTCAAGGCCGGGTGTCAGTTGATTCGTGTGTGTGGCTTCGCGGTGGCACCTGTCATGCGTCAGGAATAAAGAGAGATTGGTGGCCCTAATGAGGCACCCTATTGATCTTTCTCATCCCCTAGATTACCTCGAGTGTGCTTACTGTTCGGGAGAACTAGAAAGACCTTGAGGGCAGGAAGTATGTCCCTCCCTAGCGAAGAAAATAGCATGACAACAAGCACACAAGTCCCACAAGACTGCGAGTGAGTGCCTTCGAAAGCTGATTTGAAGATGGCATTGTGGAGAAGAACAGTTGCTTGGATTCCGCACTGTGCCGCTGAATGGCTTTTTCTAGCAGAAGCTCTGTTTGGTTATTGTCTCCATCGTCCCGTTGGTGCCCGTCAAGCAGAGGTGGCAACGCGACTCGGCGTTCCTCAAGGGGGTCGGGAAACCAGCACGAGGTGCTCAAGTGCCCACTTCAACGGAGGTATCGCCCCAAGCAAGCTCGCCGGCGGGCGCCGGGGACGGGGCGGGGGCGGGGGCAGCACCGGAGGCGTCGCCCCAAGCAAGCTCGCCGGCGGGGACGGGGGCGGCGGCCGGGGCGGGGATGTCCAGTTCAAGCGCGACACCCCGTGCTGGCAGCAGCAACGGTGGCGGGAGCACCTCGCACGCAACAGCGACGCCGCCGGCATCGTTTACGACGAGGTATTTTGGAGCAACGGGAGGCCACTTCGGTCTCAGCTCCAGTTCTAGACTAGGCCGCAGCGCTACGCTCCGCACAGCGAAGCTATCCACGACGAGGGTAGCATCGGGAGCATCGAGCTCCGGTGCCAGCAGCAGCGGTGGCGGTAACGCCTCGACCGAGCCGTCCACTCGGGGACCGGTGATGCCGCCGGCGGGATCGGGTTCGGCACCGCGGAGGTATGTCGGTGGGCCGGCTGGATTTGGGAGCGACATCGGCCTCATGGCGACGAGGCCGCCGGCAAGCGCGGCGGCGGGGGCCGGGGGCGGGCCGGGGGCGGGGGCAGCACCGGAGGTGTCGCCCCCAGCGAACTCGGCGGCCGGGGCGGGGTTTGGTGGAGGGAACGTGGCGGGGGGGGGCTCAGGGCTGCAAGCGGTAAAGCCCGAGCTTGTCGAAGCTCCACCGCCTGCAGCTCCCCTGGTATCGCCGAGTTGGGGTAGCGGTGCCAGCAGTATGGGGTGGGGTGGGTATGGCATCGGTGGCGGTGCCAGCAGCAGCGGTGGCGGTAGCGCCTCGTACGCGCCGCCGGTTCAGGGAGCGGGGATGCCGCCTGGGATGATGCCGAGCGGAGCGACAGCGAGATCGGGTTCGGCGTCGGCGGGATCGTGCGTAGCACCACCGAGGGGGCCGTCTGCATCTGGCGGCAGGCACGATATCAACGAAGCGATCTTGGGGCGCAGGGGAGCGACGAGGGCCGGGACGGGAGCCTCGAGCTCAAGCCACAGCTCCGGGGGTGTACACCGCCTCGGCGGCTTCGGTGGCGGTGCCAGCGGAAGCGGTTCACGAGCGTGCCCGGGGGCACAGTCGCTAGGCGCTGGGGGGTCCGCGGTCGGAGGGGTGTGCCACCCGGGAGCAGGCGGTGCGGGGAGCGTCGCCGGCGTAATGGGCGCCGGCGTAGTGGGGGCCGGAGGAGGAGGAGGAGGGGCGGAGCAGGGTCAGGAGGGAGGCGGAGGATCAGGGTCAGGGAGGTCCAGGACCAAGCGGCGCAGGGAGGAGCTCTCCACGGAGTCCCGCGAGCCGCGCGAGGACGGCCTTCGGCGCAGCGCGCGCAATGTGAAGGATGTACAGGTGCGGAGGAGCTCGCGCATCAAGGAGAGGGACGAGAAGGCCGCCGCGTCGAGGACGACGAGCGGCATGGGGCAGGCGGCGGCCGGAGGGAAGAAGCAATCGGCAGCGGCGGTAGCGGCGGCAGGATCGTCCGGCAAGCAGGCCAAGAGGGCCCGCCGCGGCGGAGGGGTGGAGAGCGGAGGAAGGAAGCGATCGGCAGCGGCGGTAACGGCACCAGAGTTGTCCGGCAAGGAGACCAAGAGGGCCCGCCGCGGCGGAGGGGTGGAGAGTGGAGGATTGAAGCGATCGGCAGCGGCGGTAGCGGCACCAGAGTTGTCCGGCAAGGAGACCAAGAGGGCCCGCCGCGGCGGAGGGGTGGAGAGCGGAGGATTGAAGCGATCGGCAGCGGCGGTAGCGGCACCAGAGTCGTCCGGCAAGGAGACCAAGAGGGCCCGCCGCGGCGGAGGGGTGGAGAGCGGAGGATTGAAGCGATCGGCAGCGGCGGTAGCGGCACCAGAGTCGTCCGGCAAGGAGACCAAGAGGGCCCGCCGCGGCGGAGGGGTGGAGAGCGGAGGATTGAAGCGATCGGCAGCGGCGGTAGCGGCACCAGAGTCGTCCGGCAAGGAGACCAAGAGGGCCCGCCGCGGCGGAGGGGTGGAGAGCGGAGGATTGAAGCGATCGGCAGCGGCGGTAGCGGCACCAGAGTCGTCCGGCAAGGAGACCAAGAGGGCCCGCCGCGGCGGAGGGGTGGAGAGTGGAGGATTGAAGCGATCGGCAGCGGCGGTAGCGGCACCAGAGTCGTCCGGCAAGGAGACCAAGAGGGCCCGCCGCGGCGGAGGGGTGGAGAGGGAGGCCGCTTCGGGAGGAGGGGCGGGAGCGCCGGCGGCGGTGGCGGCGGGGGGCGGCAAGGCGACGGCGGAGTCGAAGCGCGCCGGAGGCGGGGACGAGGGGTCGGGAACGGACCAGGTATTGTAGGCGGCGCCACGAGGGTAGAAGTGACAGTGCAACGGACGAACCAAGCGCCGCATCTCTGTTGCAATCAACCTCGCTACCATTCGTAGTATGTCCCTGAGTAAATGAAACACGACCAGGAGAAAAAATTATGCCTATTACACATAGCCTTTGCAGAAGAACGATGTGGTCTCACGGACTGAACGGCTTTCCCCCCTCAGCTCCCTCAACCGTACTTCGTTCGTTGCTTTGTTTCTTCCACCTGACTGATTTGAACCCCAGGGCGGCGGGGCGGCGGGGGGGTCGGGACGCCCGGGCACCGGCGGTGGCGGAAAAGCGGGAGGGGGCGCCTCGGCCGCGGACGGCGACAACGGGGCCCGGGGCAGCACCGCCGCCGCCGCCACCCCTAGGTATTGTAGGAGCAACAAGTGAACGGGAAACGCTTCAATATTGTGTAGCCGTTCTCTCAGTGCTCTAAACAAGCTGTCTGAAACACATCATATGATGGGCGCAACTACTGGCGTGCACACTCCAGAGCGTGCGCGTCACTCACTGTTGAGGAGTTTTTCCGTGGCGGACGTTGGGGGTGTGTGCGGTGTGTGGGCGAGTGGTGGCGTAGCATCATACGGCGTGCTTGCACGGAGACACATTGGAATCCTACTTGCCGAGTTTCTACGCATGTACAGTCAGTCGCCACTATACGACTCCTAGGGGAATCGGCCTACAATTGTCCCCCCGTTCTTCTGGATGCTTGACATCACACAAGGCACTTCTAGACGGCCGATGCATGCTCTATGGTCCCCGGTAGTTGTCGTCGTGCAGATCAACCCTGTCGAGCATCTTGTTTGCGCGCAAACAGACGCGCGCTTCCGCTCCCGCCTGGTCAGGTAGTCCCGGGGACCGTTGGAAAGAGAAATGTTTCGCGCGGATTGTTTGGACGGGCGCCTGTACATTGGCCAGTCGGTCAGCCTGATATGAGCGCACCTTCCCATCCACGCACGTCCTCGCTCACACTTGCCTCACACACACCGCTCCCTTTTCGTTCGATGCTGATGCTGTCCATTGCTGTGAAACATGTGCAGGTAAACACGGGTTCGGACACGGCCTTCTGTTGTCTTTTGACAGGAGGCAAGGTCTTCCGTGTGTACTCTCCGGGTGATCAAGGTGTGCCTTGCTCTTTTTTTTTGTGCTTGATGGTGGTGACGGTTCGTTCTGACCCACAATCGGCTGTCGTCGTGCTGTCCAAGCTTTTTTTGGCTTTGCGCGGGGTTTATTCACTAGTAGACCCGGGTATCGTTTCTGGGGAGTGAAGGGTATTTACGAAAAGAACCGGCTATCTGTCGGGGCGAATGGGGGGTGATATGCTCCAAGAGCTGTCGGAAGCCATGTTGTTTTTGGTGTTCATTCGATACGGCGACATGTGCAGTTGCTCCTCATGAGCTTTTTTCTTTGTTTATTTTGGTATTGCGTTGGCTTCGGCAATTGGCATCGGCAGCGGCCTATCAAACGGCGGGGTGTAAGCCCAATGCATCTGTTCTTGTTACCGCATGCTGTCTGTGAGGAATTGACACGCGGTGGATAGTCTTACCCCGGAAGCTACACGAACGGGGCTCCTCGTTATTGCCGCGCCGGCACCGTGTAGACGGACAAGTCACACAGACGAGGAAGGCCCGGAGGTTTCGTATTTTTTCTGTTCTTGTTCGCGAGTATATATCTTTTTTTTGGCTCGACTTTGGAGCGGGGCATCATGCGCACAAGGCATGGGTGTGTGTGTGCGTGTGCTTTAGAGGAGGCGAGCTCGAGGCGAGTTGGTCGTTCAGACTGCCTGTGTCTCGGCGGTGGTGGGGATGGGAGTGCGGGCGAACGACGGCTGTGCGGGAGGAGCTGTCGAGAGGTCGAACTGTCGGCTTTGGCCGGCACATTTCGAGGGCCTGGGGGGGACGTCGTAGATGTCAAGCCAGCAGGTGAGAATGTAGCCGTGCCAACTTGTATGCCGGCGCCTTTCTGCTGTTGAAGGGTATTCCTATCGTGGACTGCGAAAGTGATATCGGTTGTTGGACGGTGAAGCTGCGCTGTCGCATGCTGGTGCTGGTGCTGCTCGTTAGAGCCTCACGAGGAAACAACGCTACAACCGTAGATGGGACGTTTTCAGGCGTGCACCCGTCCTTTGTCGTCATGGGAGCGTGTCCAAGTATCTCCAGAGGTTGAAACTATTACGTAATTGCCGTCTCGAGAGCAGCACGAGCAGCCGGTGTTTTGGTGGGCAGTGCAAGGACGTGTCCGTTGTTGTGCATGTGCAACGATGACTGTTGTTGATGTGCAACGGTCCCGACTCCTGATCACGTATGGCCTCGAGTTAACCCCTCCTTGTTTAATTCCCGCTGCCTCATCCTTCCACGCACGCGTTCATCAGATTCAGAGGCCGAAACCATATCATCCATCGATTCACGCACCCGGCGGACGTCGGTGTTGTGTCGGGCGGCAGCTGGTGCTTTGTGGGAGAGAGCTGCCGTGTCCTGCGATGGTTGGTGTTGTGTTTCCACTACCGCCTCTGTTCTGTCGGGGGGAGCACGAGGTGGAACCGGTGCTGCTACCGGTGGTCGTCGCCTGTGCTGTTGAGGTACGAATGAGGTTATCGCAGTCGTGTTTCGTCTCTTGTGTGTGTGTGTGTGTGTGTGTGTGGAGATGAACTGGTGCAAGTTGCTTCTCCTGCTGCTTACAGGTTGTCTGTCTCCTGCCTGGTGTCTGTTTCATGGCACTTTTCATCCAATACAAGCACGACCATTCGGCTTTGTGCGTTTTTCCCTCTGCAACGCAGGTCTGCGTGTGGACATCCTCATCCAGTCACGCGCGTGCTTTGCGGCGTTGTGTGTTTGGAATACCGTCCCGGCGATGGCGATGCGTTAGTGTTGGGGGATTGTCGGTGGGACTGGCTGGTGGTGCTGCCGGTTGTCGCCATTTGGTGTGAGGTAAGGACGAACGCGTTGGTGGTTCGGTGTTGTGATTGAGAAAGGTACTGGTGCTGTGGCACGTGTGCTGGGTTGATGAAAGCACAGGCAGGGGGCGTTCTTGTGATTTCATTTCGAAGTAGACTAGGACAGATGTCGTTCGTGTCTGATGTCCAGGTAGGAACATATTTCGCCGTCCGTCCTCGTGATGCTTCTCTGGGTAGGGTCTGCCCTGGACCTGCCCCCTCCCGTGTGGTCGTTCCCGAATTTACAGAGTGGCTTTTGTCCTGCCAAGGTTTCAGCCGCATGCCCAGCGTAGATCCCTTACAGGTGGAAACAGACAGGCGCTTGTTTTGTTCTCCGTTTCCCGTGTTTTCTGCGTCCAGCACCGTAGCAGGACGCATTGCCTCCTCGCAAGACGTTGATTGGTTGGCGTGCGTTGTTACACCTGTCTCCATTATCTGCTCCCGCCCCACTAGATGGTGGCGAGAGAGAGAGAGAAATAGAAGTGCACAGATACATAATTTTTGGGGAAATCGTCCGTGGAATCTTCCATACGGAAAGGTCCTTCCCGAGAGGTGAGAAATGTTCAAATGAGCATCGAGAGTATTGTGGATTGTGTTCGTTGAGGAGTAGCAACCATGGCTCATTCTTGAATATGAAGCGCCCCGATGGATCACGCTGTCACCTGGCATGCAACCAATGAGCCTATTTCCGCTCCCCTTGTCGCAACTACCTTCCTGCTGCCCTTGCTGTGTCTTTGCCCAGAACGTGCACGGGTCTCGTGTGTCGTGGCGAGGCACACCCCTCTTGCCGTGTGCTTTGCTGCCGTGTTGACGGGGCTTCGCTGGAAGTGTGCTCCCGCCCCCTGTTGCACTGCTGGCGCATGGATTGGTCGGCGCCGGGTAAGGACGTGGAGAGAAAACCCATCATACCTCTGTAGGCACATTTTTTAGCATTGGCGCTCATGTCACCTTGGTCGACGGACAGACCGAAGCGGGCGTGCTGCTTGTTCATTTGCGTACTTGACGTGCGCCAATCGACGAGATCTGCGTTGAGCTGAGGGAGACACCCTGTGGCGCCATTGCCGTCCTCGCGTGTTTTTGCCCTACTTGTTGTTCCTGTTGGCTCGATCCCAAACCCACAGACGGGTGTTTGGCTCCTGTGGTTCGGCTGCCGAGCCATTGGCTGTGTGCGACGGTGGCTTGGGGAGGCGTGGCGAGAGACACGGGAGAGGTGGGAGAAACGTGCAGGCTGGAGTACTAGTACAAGTACTTCGTGCTTCCTTACGTGGCAGGCACAGGCTCCTTGTTTCAACTCCCGACTATTGCAGACGGGAGTTGGCAGGGTGGTCCGTGGAACACCACCTCAGTGCCGACACGGGTGGTGTTTTGGTGGTGTTACCTTTCCAGCAGGGAGGCTGTGCGTCTGTGGTTTGGGCGCGGCTGAATTCCTATCCAGCCCGTCGGTTAGCTAGTTCCTTGGAGTGTGAGATAGTGTGTCCTCTCTTTTGTGCCCGCTCGCCTCTCACTCTTTCTTACTCGTTCCTTCCCTCTCTCGCTTTCCCAGCTCTCCTCTGCCCGCTGCGGTACCGCCCTTTACATCGCGTTCGCGGGGTACACGCATGGATGCACCGGCCTACATTCGGTTGCGCTTGCGCCCGGACTCTTGCATCAACCATCGGGGCAGAGGTGTGCATGGGAATGGTGGCGCCAACAGGCACCGGGTTCGACTGCACGGGACTGCCACGGCCGAGCACGTGGCCGCGGGGAGAGGTATCGTCGGGCCTCCGGCGGTGAATTTTCTGGTACGTCTGTAAGCCCGTTGCCTCGTGGGACGCCAGGTGAGCGGGGGGCGATGAGCTTGAGGGTAGTGGATTCGGAAGGGGAAGGCAGGGAACCGAACCGTGACTAGTTATCCGCGGTGGAGTCGGCGCAAGCCGGGATCCCCTATTGTCAACACTCTCTAGTCATGCGTGGTTGAGCTTCGGGGGGTCGTTCGTTTTTCCCGTGCGGTGGGTGGGATTGACCTTGCGAACGCTGGCCCGGTGGAAGGGGGAAGAGAGTAGCAGCGAAG